AGAGGTAAATTGAAAGTTAAAAGTTACCGATAAAATGCAACTAAATTAAGTTAAAATTATTTAACTTAACTTTTATCTTTTTAACTAGACACTACCTAACCCCGCTGGTATTATTTTGTGCACGAAAGCTAATGAAAGGAATTAGCAAGCGCAAAAACTATATTTGACCGTGTCGGTAAAAAAGATGGCTGAAGGATCCCCCTTGAGGAAACGAATCCTTTCTGACGCGGCATACAACGTGGCACGCAGGCCTGGCAGGCCCCCTGGCACCCTGGAAGACTCGGTTCGATCCTGACCTCTTCCTGCGATACGTGTCGCAATATGTATACATGTTCCTATATATGTCACACGTTTCGCCCATGACGAGGACGAAGATTAGAAACACCATGCTCGCGGCACGGTAGAATCCGGAGTAGGGCGGAGATAAGACTCATTACAATTCCAATGATAATCGCTTGTGGTGCACAATAATGCGTAGGTGGAGGTTTCTCTGAGCCCGCGCGCGCACGTGAGCTAGGCGTGGAGACGCTCGCGACGAAGGTTATGGGATAATTGCCGGAGTTTCTCACTCGCGAGGAGTATGGGAAACTTTGTGGGCGACATCGTGATATGGTACGTCCCGATCTCCGGCCTTGTCGGATGCGCGAACGCAACGGCGGCATTAGTTTACCCTTTTACCGTTGACAACCGACGCGACGTTGCCTTTCGAATTTTTGATATTTCACTTTGACAGTTACACGTAATTTTCACGTTCGTCACCACGCAACTAAAGAGATTTGACATTCGGTAGCGTGCTGCTGCTACTTTCAGTCAGCATCATATTTGGAACCAGCGAGGTCGTCAAGCTGTTCACAAACAACGGCGAAGAAATCCTGAAAACGTCCACGTATAGCTGGATTTTTCGTCTGTGCTTGAATTTATTGGGATACGCCACTGTGCTGTTGCCGGGTTGCCTTATATACAAATATGTACGATATACAAAGTACATTCAAAGGGGTGGTGAGTACCTGTCGTGAAAGAGCCAATGTAACGTCTCTGAGTGTGTTGCGGTAATTGAAAAGAATATACTTTTGCAGGGAAAGGCTGTATCCCCAGACTGGTGCATTCGTGCTTCGTGGGACACTGCGAGACTGGTCTCCTGGACTCGCCGTCTTACGCTCCCAATGCTTCCACCCATGCCCAGCGGACATTTACCCAAGATGCCCTACTCCTGGCATATTGCTTCATCGGGCTACAATTTAGTTATCTGACGTGGGGCTACTTGCAAGAAAAGATAATGACACAAGTATCGATCAAGTTCCATCGATAGGAGAGGCATAGCTATTGTGAAAACAAAAAGCAATATTTGCGCTCTTCTACATTACATATTTTGTTGTTTGCTAGTGTAACGTTATTTCCTAATTGCACCATAATAACATGGATTTATTTGTACAGGAATACGAGGATGCTTCTGGCAATAAAGGGCGGTTTCAAGATTCGCAATTTCTGGTGTTTGTGAATCGCATCCTTGCCTTCCTCACGTCGGGATTATATTTACTTATTCAACGCCAGCCGCAGCACAAGACACCCCTGTACAAGTACGCCTTTTGCTCCTTGTCGAATATCATGAGCAGCTGGTGTCAGTACGAAGCTCTGAAGTACGTCAGTTTTCCAACGCAGGTAAAACATTCGTCGGCTTCTCCAACCAGCGATACAACTCTCGTGCCAAGATGCGAGTGTTTCAATGTATCCAATTAATGTTTTTATTTATTTTTAGGTACTGGCTAAAGCCTCTAAAATCATCCCAGTCATGTTAATGGGAAAAATAATTTCGCACACTACATACGAGTATTACGAGTATGTCACCGCGATTCTCATCTCCATCGGAATGACGCTCTTTATGCTGGACAGTTCTGATCATAAAAACGGTAAATGCTTGGTTAAATGTGCAATACGTGGTTTAGTTGCAATGAATTTATAACAGATTTATAAATTTCCTTTCAGATGGGGCTACAACGCTCTCCGGCGTCATTTTATTGGGAGGTTACTTACTATTAGATAGCTTCACAAGTACCTGGCAGAACGCACTTTTTACGGATTACGGTGTGACCAGCGTACAAATGATGTGTGCAGTCAACATGTTCTCCTGTTTGCTGACCGCGATGTCTCTGTTTCAACAATCGAGCTTTCCGCTGATATTCTCTTTCATGGCGACGGTAATTGGATTCACGATACGCACAGCCGGTGGCTCTTGCCATACCGCTTGCACGAAAGTAGCGCTAATGAATTTTATTCGTACAGTACCCCAGGTTTATAGTCGACTGCTTGCTGATTTCAATTTGCTCAGCAACAGGCCAGTTGTACATCTTTTTCACCATTTCGAAATTTGGATCCATTACATTTGTCATTATAATGACTATTCGTCAGGTACGTAATGATTTGATATATCAGTAACTGTGATAAAGCAATCTCACAGCCTGAATAATGTCTGTTGCAGGGCCTGGCGATACTGCTGTCATGTTTGACCTATCATCACGAGTTAAGCGTTGTTGGAGTGTTCGGTATACTGCTGGTATTCGGCTCGGTATTTTTACAAATTTACTGCAACAATCGATTGCGTGCAATCAGAAGACGCAGAGCCGCGGCAAGCAGTATAAAGCATTGAGAGTGGTATTACCTAGGCAGAAATGCAATTTTAATTATCGTAAAAGTAGAATTCTATCGACTGTTTGCCGTAATTGTCATAGATTAGGGGTCTGTAGTAATTAGACGTTGGCCGTAATTGTGGGCGCTAAATTTTAATCCTATTTCATTTATAATCGACACCGTGGTAACAATGGGGTAATCTTACCATGTAGATCGCGAATGTACCTTCGATAGTTTTCGATCGTGTGGACTTTGCGAAATATTTGTTGCAGTAGCCAATGTATTGCGCGTGTGTTAACGTATCTGGGAAGATAAGTACTTGAAAATATGTGATCTGAAAAAACGTCGGCATTATACCATTACGAAAAGAAAGCGTGTATGTGTGTGTGTGTTACGCCACATGTATTACGGCGTATTGTATTATTTATTTGAAAAATATTTATTTTGATATAAATGCGTATACACAACAAACATACACGTGCAAGTTTCTTACCACTGACAATGATATATCTGACATAGAAATAGACGCGGCGTTACGGTTCCCCTTTTTTTTTCCGTAGGATTTGCAAGCTGTCGCTTAGACGTGAGAACCATTTACAAATGGCAGTGTTCATAATCTTGATTATACACAAGTCGTGCGGCACGAAAATCGTTTACTTGGCCAGTCTTTGCTACTTTGCCTAAAAATATTTGCGACAAAGTCGCAACGTTACGCAGAATTGAATTTATATCAGACTCGAGGGAGAGTAATGCAATATTCTCACGCAGGATTATTTCTTACGCGTACAGACGTAACAATAATAATAATAATAATAATAAAATACACAGTAACACAGCGAGAAAAGTCTTATTGCGTGACAAAACAACGGCAAACACTTGGATCTCAGCCTCGACGACACCCGGAATGGTCGATTAAGCGTGATAGGTGCAGAACCAGAAGTGGAGTCATCGCGCGACTAGAATGTCAGAGGCGGTAACGGCCGGTCACTTCCCCGGGGCCGGTGGCCGGTAGATGGCTATAAGGCACATGATGGCGATGACCACCTCGGACGCCAGCAGTACCAGCTGTATGCTGCAGAGGATCACCTCCAGTCTGAGCACGTAGTACTGCCAGAGCAGGAAGTAGAGCGTTGCCAGCGAGCTGGGTACAGTCAGGACGATCCCGATGAGGATCGGCAGCCCGCGCTCGGTCAGGTTTCCCTTCCTTCCCAGGTAGATCCTGCCGCTCTCCGTCAGTATCAGGAAGAACAGCAGCGCGAACTCTATCAGGGTCTTGCCCGCGCCCGGCGACGGCATGTTCGCGGCCTTGAACAGCCCCATGCACAGCTCGCACACGGCGAACATGCCGAAGTAGAAGGAGTTGAGGTACATGAGGATCTCGTAGGTGAGCGAGGAGTTGGCCACGGTGGGCATCGCTGCCCCTCGGTCCTCTCGATCGCCGCGGGAAAGGGGAGCGAGCGCGGTAAGGGTCCTCGGAGCTCGGACCGGCTCTACGAACAAACGCACCGCCGCTCAACGTACGGCATGGCTCGCGCGAACTGGCGTCTCCCTCAACCGCGATCCATTTCCCCCTCGTTGCGTGCGACGTCCGCGACGTATCGCCGCTGTACCAGCGCGGTCTCGTCGCTCTCGGTAGCTCGGCTGCGGCACAGACCGCGAGGCAGCAGCGCGTCTCGACGCCCGTGAGACTAGTTGGGGAACGCTGGGACCTCGCGCGCACCTTGCCAATTCCTCACGCTTGTCCGTGCGTTTATTTTTACCACCGCGAGCGCGCGACACCGCGCGCGCGAGCGAGCTCGAGTAGGTCTCTACCGTCGTTACCGCCGTAGAGAAAATACGTCGCGCTGCTTCGCGGGAAAATAATAACGTTTCGACTATTAGTGTCTATTTTGTTCGGGAATTTTTCCAATTGCGAGAACGTCTCCGCGTCGCTAGAATTAATGTTTTTCCAGGCTCGCGTCAGCTGTATTTAATTGGCGCGAAATACCGACGGACACTAATTTTCATCCAACATTGATGAATTATTGGCGTTGGCCTCATAATTTCATTTGTGGTTCCTTTATGGCAAGTGTTTTTCAGATTTCCCGCTTGTATCTCGAGATTTTTAAATTTATATTGCATTCCAATTAACTACAGACGGTAAGGTAGGCAAGTTATCTCGCGTCGGTAATCCCCGGGGCGCGATACGAGTTTCGCGCGAGCCGCCGCGGCGCGGCGAATTTAAACCGCAGGGCGCGAAAGCGACGCCGATGACGCGCGCGTCGCTCTCGTGTTTATCTCGGATCGTCGACGTCGGGTTACTCGGAGTCGGTAGGGCAACGAGTTTCGCGCGAATTCGCGGCATGGACGCGCGTGGGAACTGCGTCGCGGATCGCGAAACGTGATCTGCCCCCCTCGTCGCCCCCGCCCGCCCTGGTAGCGCAGCACGGCTGGAAATTGTTAAGTCGGAAAATGAGCGATCGGGAATGGTGAGCGTGACGATGTCGCTGCGTCCGAATCTCGCGCGGCTCCTCGCGGACCTCGGTCGTCGCGGCGGCGATATCGCGCGGCGCCGCTCGCGCTATCGTCCCCGAGGTCGTCGCTCCTGTCCGTCACCGGTGACGCGTCGCGACGGCAGGCATTCCGACTACTCCGAGCAGTGGACCGGCCGCAACCTCGCCTCGACGGCGCGCTCCCGCGAGCCGCAAACGGCAGGGCCCGTCGACGACTGGAAGGAGGAGGAGGAGGAGCGAAAGGGCGGCTTTCTCGTGGACGCCCGGGAAACGATACTCGTGTTGGTGAGGATCGCGATCGTGACCACGGTCATCGCCACCCTGCTCGCCGCGTATCTGATAACGCGCCTGGCCCACGCGAGCTCGTTTCCCACCATCCTGCGAGAAGGTAGGCCAGCGATACGGCGGCAGTTTGGGCAGTTCGGCATCAACTGCGTCTGCAGTTGGGCTCATGTTCTGCCAACAGAGTCGACATAATCTGATAGCACGTTGCCAGCGGAATAGTATCTGCCGGTTTTTCTTTTTGTAGCGGTCCCGATCGAGTACGACATTTGCGCTTTTAAACAAAATCATGTGTTTCGCGGTCAATCTGCAGTCAATCTGTAAGTCGGCTCTGTTATATTTCCGCCTCGCGTTCTGTCGGCGTAATTTCGCAAGATTTGGGCTCGGTATATTCGCTGGGTCAATCGGTGCCCAGGATAACGTACTTGACGCCGGTTACATTCGTCTTTTTTAATCTTTTTACCTTGTAATTACCCAGATAGCGATGCATGTCCAAGAGACAACTTGATGACCGTCTTAAAGATGTCTTTTTGACACGCATGCTAGCTGGGTAGATTCATCTTCAAGCTAAATTACAAGAAGAGATTCGCCAAAAGTATACTATGAAGACGTTTCCGAGGGATAAACCATATTATAACTAGTGGGTCCACTTAATCAGTTCTTTTGTTTTGCGATCCCTTCTGCGTGTCCGACATTGCTCTGGTCGAGAAAAGTTGTACGTGTGTGTGGCTCTGATGAGTACGTGTACACACACGCGTCGCTGGATCTGCCCGGGTGTATGGCGGATTACCACGTGATCGAGAGCGCAAAGATCAAAGGGACCGGCAGAGAGTGGACCTACTAGTTGTGCTATGATAAGCCGCTGAGGGCATTGTCCCTAGTAGCACAGTGCATTGGCCAAATATTCCCATACAGCACAGAAAGTTAAATAATGTTGCTGAAACGTTCCAATGTTGAGTGTCGAAGTATAAATATCTTTCCTACGTTGAATCTACATTTCGTAACATCGATGCAATATTGCAATGTTGTAATGGAACGTTTCTGAGATGTTGATTCAACATTTGTATGCTGTACAGGATTGGTCCAATGTTGGTTATATTAGAAATACATTGGCCGATATTGTCCAACTTAAAGCCAGTATGGGCCATGGAATAAATGTAAATATTGCACGATAAGAATTATGTAATATTAGATTTATATTGGAAGTGCATTGGCCAATATTTAACGATGTACTAAGAATATTAGTCTAAAATTGATACAATATTAGACAAATATTGGCTAAATAAGAGAAGTCCATCTTACAATATTGGACCCCTGAATAGTCAGTGTGAGGACAATATTGCTAACAAAAGTGTTAGCATCTTGTAATGCTATTGTGCTGTTTGCTGGCATTTAATGTCGGAAATGAAACATTCGTATGATCCAAACATACTAGTAAGTGCTTGGCCAGATGTAATAGATATAACACGTTTATATCTGTTGAAAAATTGAACACAATGCTAACTCCTTGTTAACAGTATGCCCATTCGATGCCTTCCCTCGTTAGCTGTGCACTTATCTACGACAATATGTTAACATTATGCCAGCTGTATTTAAATCGCTCAAACATTGAATGCATGTTCGTAGCGAAGAGCTAGCGTCAGTTGCTGGCATTTTATTTCCATACATCGAGCGTACTGGCTGATTGCGAGACCAATATTGGGAATACTAGATTTACATTATTTCCGAATATTGGACCAATATACTGTGTTACCAGGGGTTGTGTACAGATTTCGGACATTACTAGGCAATCAATCTTTATTACACTTCAACTTACATGCCAAGAAGTGTGGGTCTTGGTTTACAGTTATATCCTTACCTCATACACTCATTCATTTCTCCATAACTGCACTGCGTTCCATCCCCTAACTTCTACGTGCGCCTCTGTCCTCTTTTCTCAATTGTACTATTTGAACTTACTCTCACCCTATTTAATTTTACCTATTACTAGGCATTACTAGGCATTTTTTGAGCATTGATGGGTGTTATTTGACCTTGCTGGGGCATTATAAAGAATCTAAAAAGACAAAACAAGATAATAAGATAAAGTAATGCCCATTGGGCATTAGTTGGCATTGGTATACATAACTTTGGTCGGCGGTTTACCCCTCGGACGTTTCTTAATCATTAACGATGAAGCAGCGTTAAATCGCCGATCAATGACGTGAGGATCTTGTTTAAAACAAATCTCTACTCCGTCTACTTCGGAACAGAGTAGACGGCCTGCGAGAGACAATTCAAGCGAGGGAATCGCATTTTTTTTTTTACAGGTATCGAGTTTCTCGGGCCGATTTTCGTCAAGTTCGGCCAGTGGGTGTCCACGCGGCGAGACGTCTTCTCGCGAGACATCTGCGACACGCTCTCGCGGCTGCAACGGAACGCGACGCCGCATCCTTGGCCGTACACGGAACGCCTGCTCGAGGAGACATACGGCCCTTCCTGGCGGGACTTGTTCGTGAGATTCGACGACGAGGGACCGATCGGCTCGGGATGCTGCGCGCAGGTACGCAGACGATAAGCCCTAGACTGGAGATTCGCGTGCAACGAGATGAATGTTGGTCGCGCGAATTTAACAAAGATCGATGCGCAGGTGTACAAAGCGTGGATCGATCCGAGTGCGACGCGGGATTCTCGGGATTCTCGGACGTCGCGTTTCATGGAAAGTAAGCTAGAAAGCGTTTTCACCTCTCCTCTCTGCGCGCGCGTAACATCGCCGCGATAGAAATCGCGCGGGCGCGATTTAGCGAAAGGTCGCCTCCGTTATCGTTTCGCCTGGAACGACCAAGCGTTCACGCGGCAGACATTTGGCAGCCTGTTCGGATACATTTGCATAGCCGCATTAAGTATACGCGCAGAGAAATCAGGCCGATCGCAGGCCCAAAATGAACAACATTTGTCAACGTATTGCCGTTTCTAAACATTTACCAATTTCGTTTCTCTTTTGAAACGATACGTTCGAACGGGTAAAAATGAGTTTCTGCTAAATTAATATCATATATTGGTTCAGCCATGAATTTATTGCCCTTGGAGCGAAATCTGCTTAGCGGAAAATTCATTGTTAGATCGTGTTGTTGCGAAAAAAGATCCACGATTGAATTTGGACGTTGAAAACCTGCTATCTCATATTAGAAGCTCATTTCATAATAGGGAGTTTTTATCTAATTATATTAAAAAGTTATAATTTTGCTAAATGTTAGGAGAAATTTGCAAAGCGTCGATTAAAATGGTAATCAATTACAGAAAAGGGATAAGAGAAAAATTATGTTGATCTAGCAATGAGGAACATGAAGGCAGGTTTTTCCCTACTTGTAAGACTTCACAATCGCACCCACTCTCTTCAATTTATTTGAACCGAGTGGCAGGGTCAACTTGCTAATAGCTGTAAGTGACGAATGAGACAAGACCGATATATATCAAGTATTTCAGACGGAGCTCTCGATGAAAGCGACGAATCCGCGCCTGCCAGTCCGCGTGCCAGGAAATTGCAAACCGTAGCGGTAAAAGTGTTGCATCCCGGAATCAAAGACCAACTCAAGTATCCTCTTTGAGATATCGTGCAGATAATTCTTAGTTTTTCCCAGTAACGTTGAAAGTACCCCTCGACGGAAATGTCGAGTTTATGTACCTTCCCAAGTCTTTCGAAGGCACAAAATCTGCTTATCTAGTTATTAATTCATGAGCCCTCTTGTTAGCAACTTCAAATGCCCGGGAACTGAAAGCCTGAACGTTTTCGTCGAACGTAAATTCAATTAACTAATCAGAATATTCTTCAATGTCGCCAACGGTAATTAACAACATCGGTGTTTCCTTGACCATACCTGGCATTTTTAATAATACAGAAAACTTATTGCGAAAAGTATTACCTCTACGTACTATAAAGTACCATGTATATGCCTCAGTGGTCGAATTGGTGAGACGCCCGCCTAGAGTGTAGGGGGAGGTCTAGGTTCAAACCCTGGCTGATGTAAGATTTTTC